GCAACCTCCGCCTCCTGGGTTCAGGCAATTCTCCTGCCTCAGCCTCCTGAGTAGCTGGGATTACAGGCACGTGCCACCATGCCCAGCTAATTTGTGTGTGTGTGTGTGCGTGTGTTTTTAGTAGAGACGGGGTTTCACCTGTTGACCAGGATGATCTTGATCTCTTGACCTCGTGATCCACCCGCCTCGGCCTCCCAAAGTGCTGGGATTACAGGCGTGAGCCACCGCGCCCGGCCATGTGTTAGCATCTTTATCGTGTTGACCAGGAGCTGGTGTATGCTGGGAGCTATGCAGATGTAGGGTGTTTCCTGGGCCAGAGGACACAGCATATGCTTAGGCTTGGGAGAAAGGACAGTCACCTGTGATGGGAGAGGCCACTCATATTTGGCTCTGTGGTCTGGGCTATGTGGATGGGACACAGGGTATGGACCTGCGCGGATCTTAAGGAGGGTGGACGGCAAGGCAGGGGATGCCATTCCTGCTGTGGGAAGAATCGGATCAGCCAGTGCAGGAATGACTGGCATGTGCAGGAGGAGCATGTCTGGGGAGTGAGGCCAGGGCCTGAGGATAGAGGCCTTGCAGGCCGCAGTGAAGAATCCAGACCTTGTCCCGTAGGTGATGGGCATCTTTGGCGATGAGGATGTGAAACAGATCTTGAAGATGATTGAACCTGAAGTCTTCACTGAGGAAGAGGAGGAGGAGGAGGAGGAGGAGGAGGAAGAGGAGGATGAGGAGGAGAAGGAGGAGGATGAGGAGGAAGCGGCACAAGAGAAGGAAGATGAGGAAAAAGAGGAAGAGGAGGCAGCAGAAGGAGAAAAAGAAGAAGGCTTGGAGGAGGGACTGCTCCAGATGAAGCTGCCGGAGTCTGTGAAGTTACAGGTGGGCTGCTGCTCCCTGCTTTTCAGCTTCCATCCATCTGGGCTGGGAGACAGAGGGTAGGTGGGGTGCGAGCCTGGACCTCTCCCTCGGGCAGTGGGGAGCTGTGGAAATGCATGCGGCAGGGAGCGATGCTGCCTTGGAAAGATCTCTCTGTTTTCCATGGAGATGAGACCCTGGAGAAGGCAGGCTTTTTTTTTTTTTTTGAGACAGAATTTTGCTCCATCACCCAGGCTGGAGTACAGTGGCGTGATCTTCGCTCACTGCAACCTCCACCTTCTGGGTTCAAGCAAGTCTCCTGCCTTAGCTTCCTGAGTAGCTGAGTAGCTGGGATCACAGGCATAAGCCACCATGCCTGGCTAATTTTTGTGTTTTTAGTAGAGATGGGGTTTCGCCACGTTGGCCAGGCTGGTTTCGAACTCCTGACCTCAGGTGATCCATCCACCTTGGCTCCCCAAAGTGTTGGGATTACAGGCGTGAACCACTGCACCCAATGAAGGCAGGCTTAAGGTTCTGGGCAGCAAATGATGGTGGCTGGACCATGGAGGGCAGGGCCATGGAGAGGGGAGAGGAAGCAAGAGAAGGTTCAAGAAGTCCTGATGGTCTCACCTCCACCTTTCTTCCCGCGTGGCTGTCCTTCTGCAGATGTGCCACCTGCTGGAGTATTTCTGTGACCAAGAGCTGCAGCACCGTGTGGAGTCCCTGGCAGCGTTTGCAGAGCGCTATGTGGACAAGCTTCAGGACAACCAGCGGGACCGCTACGGCCTCCTCATGAAAGCCTTCAGCATGACCGCAGCGGAGACTGCAAGACGCACCCGCGAGTTCCGCTCCCCGCCCCAGGAGCAGGTCACCTGACCTCTGACGCTGGTCACTCTTACTGCCTAAACGCCAACCTCAACATCTCCCGACTCTTATCATTGAGGACCCTCAACCTCTAAACCCATGCTTGACCCCTAATTATACATTTATCTCCTACCTTCTGAACCAACCTGACCTCTGAGTCACCCCACACTGACCCTGACTCCTGTTAGACCTCTGGCCCTAGTCTCCCAGTCTTCATTAACTCACAGTCCACTCATGACCTTAGATGCAGACTTACGATTGCATCTTCTGTCTCTGATCTCAGAGTTCCTGCTTTGGGAACTCAGACCCTCATTCTAACTTTTGACCTTCCCCTAGATCAATATGCTCCTGCATTTCAAAGATGGTACAGATGAGGAAGACTGTCCTCTCCCTGAAGAGATTCGACAGGATTTGCTTGATTTTCATCAAGACTTGCTGGCACACTGTGGTAAGGAGCGGGGATCAGAGAGTCCCCCCATGCTAACTTTCTCAAGACCCCTCCAGAAGTTTCCCTAAGATTTCCTGACCTTAACCCTCCACAGTATTGGTGCTATGTAACTATTGGTTGAATGAATGAATGAATGAATATATTAGTGAGCAGTTAGATGATACGTGGAAGGATATATTTTTATGAGTATTTGGGTGGATGGCTATAAGCAGATAAATGAATGGGTATGTCAACTGATGAATAGAAAAAGTGGGTGAAAAATGGCTGTCTGGAAAGATGGTTGGATGAAGAGAAGGACGGACGGATGGTTGAGAATTGGGTGGAGACCTGGCTGGCTGGGTGGAAGGACAGATGAATGACCTCCATAGTTTCTGATGATGACAGGTCAGCTGATAGTCTTATTGCGATTCCCTTATACATGATGAATTATTTTTCCCTGGCTGACTTTTAAGATTTTCTCTTTGCCTTTGCCTTTCAACAGTTTAGTACGATATGCCTAGGTGTAGAGCTCTTTGAATTTATCCTACTGGAAGTTTGTTGAGTTTCTTGAATATATAATTATTTTTTTATCAAAGTTGGAACATTTTTGACAATTATTTATTCAAATATTTTTCTGCCCCTTACGTCTTCCTCTGGGACTCTCATTATGCACATATTGGTATACTTGATGGCATCCCACAGGTCTGTGAGATTTGCTTTCAT